TCCATCGTCGCCGTCTGCTCCCCGAGCACCCTCCCGCGCCTCGCTACACGTGCTTTCTTCCCAAAAGGTATACCTCCAACGCATGGTCCTGAGCATCGTCGTGAGCATCGTCCTTGAGCGAAAAAAGCATCGCCGGCGGAATCTTGCTTTTAGCCGAGCATCCGGGTATGGGCGCGGCATGTCAACTCCAGCCGAGCGAGTACAGTAAAGCGGCGCTGAGGCAGCCCAACGCTCGCACCTCCTCCCCATCCGCCTAGAGTTTGGCTCTGACTCTCGGGCGCTTCATCCTCATGGACGCCTTCCCGCGTCGATCCTCGCTTTGAGCAACGCTCAAACGCACCCTTCGCTAGCGCTGACAAGGATCATCAGCCAAACCCGCGACGATCCCTCGGCTCGCTTGCCGTCCCTGCCCACCATGCATCCACGCTCTTCCTCACACATACACACGCACACTCCCGTGCCCGCCTTCTTGGCTTTTGGACCTTGGGCCTCGGGCCTTGACCTTGGGCCTCTGCGCCCTCGACTCAAACTTGCCCCGGACCTCCCTCGACTGCCTGTCTCAGCGTCCCCTCGTCGGCTTCCCGTGCTCCCCAGTCTCAGACCCGCTTCTTCAATCCACATGCACCCGCCGTGCACATGCACGTTGCCCGCCCCGTTCCAACACCATTCAGATGCACCTCTCAGCCATCCCGCACCACATCTCAACAACCTTGCCCTCCCTGCCCGTCCGCACTCTGGATTATCCGCCACTGTCCGTCCCCGGTTCGCTTCACCATCTACCTCGCCGGCCATTTGATTCGGTATAAAGACCTATCCCACTCGCACCATGGCGTCGCCGTCTTCCCATCCCTCCTAACCTTGGCTCTCCTGTCTACATTGCGCGATGGTCCGCCTCACCGCAGCCGCGCTCGCCAGCGCGCTCTTCCTCGCCGCCGCAGACGCACTCCCTTCGCCCGTCGTCTTTTCCACAAACTCGTCCGACTCCCTCGCAAGCCAGCAGCTCGAGGCGCGCTACCAAGTCCTCCCAGACATCTCCCAGCTTGACCGCCGCTACACATCCACCTTCACCCCACCCTCCGGATACCGCTTCTCCTGGGGCATCGACGGCTCGCGTGTCTCCTACGGCACCTCCTCCGGCGAATACATCACGAGATCCACCATCTCCGGTGCATCCGCCGTCGGTCAGTCCGAGGTCACCACCTGCGGTGCAAGGTGCGAAGCTACCAATGGATGCGGCTTCTTCCATCCCGTACAGATGAGCGGCGGTTCAGAAGGCTCTGTCATCTGCGCACTCTACAAGGTAAAGCAGTCCAAGTCCGCAGCCACCTACACCAGTGGTGCAGGAAGCAGCGGCGGCACCGTCAGATTCTCCTACGGCTTCACTCGCGACGCCGGGCCTTCGTCCGGTACTGCCAGCAGTTCCGGCTCGGCTTCAGGATCCGGTTCGGGCTCTGGAACCGGCTCTAGCTCCGGTTCGGGCTCGGGCTCCACCACGGGTTCCAACGGCCTCCCGACCCCTCCCTCGGGTGCCACGCTCATCCAGTACAAGGGCTGCTCCAGCTCCTCGGCTACCGTGCCCATGTTTGTCAACAAAAACTACCCCATCTCAGGATCCACCTCGGCCTCCACCGTCTGGATCGTACAGCACGGCTCGGGTCGCAACTTCAACGACTACTTCTCCTCCATCCGCAACGTCGTCGGCGATGCAGGCGTCATCATCGCCCCCAACTTTTACGCCACCAGCGACTCGGGCGAGTGGTTCCAGCCCGCCAAGAACCTCGCCTGGAGATCCAACGACTGGTTCAACGGCGACGACGCCATCGCACCCTCGGGCGTCTCTTCGTGCTCCTCCTTTGACGTCTACGACTCGATCCTCGCTCTCGTCCGCGACAGGTCCAAGTTCCCCAACGTCAGCCGCGTCTTTATCGTCGCCCACTCGGGCGGCGCCAGCATGATGGCCAAGTACGGCATGCTGCGACCCAACACGGGCGCACGCTACGTTCTCGCCAACTCGCCCTCGATGCCCTACTTTACCACCGCCCGTCCCAACGCTCCCACCGGATGCTCCAACTACAACTCGTTCGGCTATGGATGGGCTGGCCCGCTTAACCGCTACGTCTCGGCCCGCACCCCCGGAGGTCAGCAGGCGTTCCGCAACTGGATCACTCAGGACATTACGCTCATGACCGCCGACCTCGACACCTACTCGCGCGACGCCAGCGGCGACCAGAGCTGCCCCGTCCAGGCGCAGGGCGGTCAGAACCGCAGAGACAGGGGTTACGCCTTCTGGGCCTACATCAACCTCCTCGGCGGCACCTCCACCGACGTCTCCCAGTACTATGGCTACGACTCGCTCAAGCAGCAGGGCGTCTCGTCCCTCGGCGCCTCTAGGTTTGGCGCCAGGCATTGTGTTGTCGACAATGTCGGTCACGACAACTATGCCATGTTTGCGAGCGACTGCGGTCGTGCTGCCATCAACGGCGCAAGCTCCATCCCCGCCGGTCCCGGTCCCGTTAGACCTTAGATATACCCCGCACGTGTTTCGCTTTGTACTGAGGTTTGGGCGTTTGCGTGCCTCGCCTATCCCTGTCCCCGCGCCCGCAAGGTGCGACGCAGGGGTCTAGCGCTTGATGGCCGTCTTTGCAATTGTATGGTTTTTTGCGAATGTAGGTTTTACGATTGAAGACGAGAATGTAGATCAGAGTGATGCAGCGAGTGCAGACGAGTGGTGCAGCGAGTGCAGAGTTGCGCGTGTATGCAGTACGCTTTCGTCGTCATCGTCGACTGTTTACAAACTCGACACGTGTGTTGGAGTCCGCGACGGTGGATGCTAGAACACTGGTACCAGCTGACAGACGGCAGAGAGTTTTGCACAATTGAATGAGTGTATTGACGAGGTTGCGAATGAAAGATGATGGCAGTTTCTATCTACAGGCTGTACGAGTGAGTGAAGGTGCGAGCAGGAGACACGTGCGTCGGGCCCCTGATTAGGGCACATGTATTCCCAGTTCCAGGGCTGTGCGGCGTTGATCAAGTGGGCGGTGCGCCGTATGAGGGCGTGCATGCAATGTAGGGGCCCCGGATGCAGGCACCAGGCCAAACGGAGCGAATCCCACAGACAGCGTGCGTATGCAGTGCGCTTTCGTCCCCATCGTCGACTTTTACGTGTCGAGTCTCGAGGCGAGCGCTGGTTGGGCACCGTGTGCAGTCTGTACTCGAAGAGCGGGCGTGATGCTCCCTGTGATGCAAGCTGTGCTGGCTGGAGCAAGGCACTGCATGCGGTCAGGCTCACGGTGAGGCTAGCGAGGAAGCTCACGACGAAGCTCATGATGAAGCCCACGATGAGGCTCACGATGGAGCTGACCGTGGGCCGAAGGCTTGAGGGAAGGATAAGACGACGTACGCCGTATCTATCCAATTGACCATGTTCGCAATCTTCCAAACATTGGTAACATCTACTCCAGCACAAATTGTACTGCCGACTCTGCAAGCGCGGCTTCGCACACCGTCGTCAAATGCTCTCGGCGACGAGTGATCTGACTTTTGCAGATGCGACCAGCTCCTAGCCGACGTACGTTCGTCGGCTACCATAGCAGTCATGTGTTGGTCACGCACACTCAGCGAACGCGCGTCTTCTCCTCATGTCTCGTCGACACGGCATGCGTCCGGCAGCTCTTCAGCATTTGTGTGCTCAAGCATGGTCCCGCACAACGTCGCGGCGGCTCGATCTGCATTCGGCGGGGAGTGATCGCCGATGCCATTGTACCTCAAGTCCACAACCTGCCTACTCGGCAAGCGTGATCCCCCGCCACTCTGTCTCCGTCATGCGCGCCCGTGCTCGACGACGAGCGCGTTGATTTTGGCAAATGCACGTAAAGTGCGCAAGTCTGCGCAGAATGAACACCACGACGCACCCTTGACGCTTGTATTCGGCGAGGAGTATTTGGTCTCCTGCAAATACCCAGCGCATTATGTGTACTGCCAAATTCGACGAGCGTGGTTCCACGAAAGAAGATGAGACCTTCTCGATCTCGTCAAGAAGTGGTGTGCCTTCGATAGATGCGCACTTTACTAGCCTTCGTGTGCCAGCTCTGCAAGGTTGGCTCTCACAGCCCATGGCAAATTTCTTGCCTTCCTTTCCCTCTCGTGCCTGAGCTCGGCCTTCGTATGACGCCTCTGGAAGTCATTTTGGCGACGAGAGTTCTGACTTTGACAGATGCGTAGTCTTCCTTCTTGTCCTGTCATCATGTCTGCGTTCCCACGGCATTCGTGTATTCGGCCAGCGTACAAGCGTGAGTGCCGTTGAAGTCGTGCAAGATTGATCAGTTGGTCAAACGCTCTCGTGTGCAGCGAAGAGTGTTTTGCCTCCTTGGCCGTGCGAGGGATAGGCACGGCCAATCGCCAGTGCCTCTTTTGCTGGCACCGTCACTATCCAACAATGTCGAGCTCCATCTTTAGGGAGCACATTCCGGGCCAGGGGTCACAGCGTCACCATGTATCGCTTGCCGAACGGAAGGCAAATTCTGCCAAGATCCCGACGCTTCCACCTCATCTGCGCCTCTAGAAGGGCCCACCAAGTGAATCGCCTTGCCAAGCTCCCGTTCTGCTTTCCCCTTCCCCCGGCTTCGTCTCTGCTCCGCACTGAGAGAAGAGTGCGGTGGCCGTCAACGATGTCAGTCATTGCGCGCGTGTTCGACCTTTTAATTTTCTAGCTGGCAAAGAGTATATGGTTGTATGCACATCTTCCTCAATCTCGCTGTTTGGCAGTCGCGGATGGCAGAATCCAGCTTGCCTGGAAACATGAGTGTCTACTGTTATTGGGCAGGTTTAAGAATACAGCTTGAAGGCCTTGACACGCTTGTCACGCACTCGTCCGTCGGAGGTGACGGGTATGAATTGTCCCTCGACGCTGATCTAGACGATGAGTTCTGTCACCACCGGCTGAACTATTCAGCGAGCATGCTTGGCTGTGCCGAGTATTTGTGAGGCACATGGCAACTCGCCCGTTCGTGTCGCCTTTAGAAGGTCGAGCAAGCAAAACGAAGGAATTCAACTTGCGAGCTGCCAGCGGCCGTGTACTGCCGGCCGAACCAGCATGATGCAGAGCATCAGTAACTCACATCTTGCCTTGCCAAACCCTCGTACCTCCCAGCATGCGTCGCACGGAGGCGGCTTGACGCCCATCTTTAAAAGACTCACGCTGCCATGTTCTTTGTTGTCCATTGATTGGTGTGCGCGGATGCGTGCACTCCCAGATGCATGATGCTCCACTGCTCTCAACATTGAGTTACGGGTGGGCACTTAACCCGTCATCTGTGCGAAGAACATTGTCCACCGGGTTTGGACATACAGTTGGTTAGCATCACACACCTCTTCACTTCTACGGAGATGATAGGGAAGGTCGAGGTTCCTACAACTAACGACCGATGCTGAGGGTGATCATTCGAAGAAAACGTCGTGACAATGATCGGTCTGCAAGATGTGTGAGTGCATGCAGACACTTTGAGAATCCACGAACGTGTGTATTTGATTTGGGCAGGTGAACAAGCCTCCTGCCCCTTGGCACATGTATTTGCATATGCCCTCGCGGGCGCGGTGACTTACGACGATGAGGTGCCTTCCCCAGCACCTCTCTGAAACCGGCGCAACCATAACGTTACCGCATGTGTTATACAGAGCCAAGCCCTGGCATATGTCCGTTGACCCCTGTGTGTCGCTGAGATCCTCAAACGCTGGCATTCGCGGATCGTTGAATCGTGGCTCCGGCTCATGGCTCACGTAACTTAACTTAACGTGAGTGGCCCGTTACTGAAACAGGCCCGTTAGTGAAACAAAAATCACGAAAATGGTAAGTTATGATCACCCGGAGACCCTTTTTGATGCCCCTGGTGACATGATGTGCTCTAAAGGAGGTCAATCTCGTCGTCAGAGTAATCGTGATTACCCCTGACCCCTGTCAATCGCTTACAATGTCATTTGTGATTCATGAACTTCAGTTAAAATAATTTGCGCGCGGAAGGCTTCTGGTTCAAATTTGAACTAAGTTCTGCGAGTATGAAGCATCAAAGAAGGTCACAAATCATGACTCGCACTTCGAGGCACTGGCAATTGGCTCAACTCTCTTGAACGAGAAGAGAAAAAGCACTAAGTATTCGAAACTGAGAACGTGGGAAGGGTGAGAGTTATATACATGTGACGAAGTCGAGGGAGCGTTGGAAAAGATAAGCTATCGAAGTCGTACATGCAATGGGGAAAAACGGGGAGAGACGGGAGTGCGGGGAAACTACATCTTTTTGTGATTTTGCATTTTTGTCCCTTTCGCGTCATATTTCAACAAACTCATTCTCCAGATCAATCTGATCATACGTTCATGATCCTTGAAGCTCTGGTCCTCTCTCGACTTGCGTTGAATGAACAGAAATTTTGTAGTCAGTCATGAGTCGCTGCGACTGAGAGCCTAGGCATCTTGTGCGACAGGCAATGAATCATGAATGTTGCACCGCTTTTTCCAATTTGACGCTGTAATTTGACTCGGCTACAGGCCGTGAGGGTGCTTCACAGACTTGCGTACAATATCTCTCTCCCTCTCTTCGGTGACTTCGAATCACGAACAACTTACGAATTGGTCATGAATCATTTTCTTCTTCATCCCCCTGACAATCTCTTTTGACTGACCTGCAGACACGACTTCACAATTTGATGTATGATCCGTGATCCATATCCTAACAAATGGGGTGGGTGGCGACGAGCAGCCACCCATCAGCCACCTCGGGTGGCTGTTTGGGATCAGCCACCCCACAGCCACCCACAC